GATCAGGCGCCTGTCATAACGACAGGCCACACAATTTTATCAACATTAATTTGTCAAACATTTGCCGGCATTTCGCTTGTGTTAGAGGGCCTGTATCCTTCCCTTTTAATGAGAACAATAAGTTGAATGAATTTAATGAAATGAGATGTAAACATGTGGACAGCTGTGGACAAGCAGTGGAAAAAGGAGGAAAGCGAGCAAAAGGACCCTGGCCATTGTTAACCACTCGTACTCTCTCTCTCTCTGTCTCTCAGTCTCCCTGTCTCTCTCGCTTTCTCCCTGCTGCATTTACTTGTTTTCGAACTCGTAATGAAATTCTTGAGTAGAAATTCATTTTGCAACTTTTGCTGAAACAATGCTCATTGAATAATTTACGCCCTGCGCCAGCACAAATGAAAAACCCAAACGGACTGGGGAAAACGGGTGAAATGGGGGGGAAATGGGTGAAATGGGGGGAAATGGGGGAACATGGCTGAATGGGAGTGTGGAAAACTGCAGCAGTGCTCCACTTAGTGAGCTCCCCAGTCCCTTGGCAATCTACGTGCTCGGGGTCCAGGCGCTGGGCATAATTGCATTAGTCGGATGCGCTGGATGTGGCATCCCATTGCCACCTCCTTCGCCCCCCGGGTTAATGTAATTGTTTTGTGTATTTAGCCTGGACATTGCATTCAAGTATCACCAGCCAGCCAGCCACCCACCTGCCCCTCGCCTCCCTTAATGAGCCAATCAATGCACGCGATTCCGGCGAGTTGGGAAAAGTTCTGGCCCCATTTCACAAGCTCAAAATGCAAATTGTTGGCAATTAACGTTTCAAGCGATTCCAGCACGAAGGTGGTTCTACCAGCATAGGATCTTGGCTAATCTGCAGCCAACTAATTAAACTTTGTCTGTGTTGCGACGCCTAATGTGCTGGCATTTGAGCCCAGACTTTGGAAACGAACCACAAAGAGGCTTGCATCAATTATCCGTCTTCTTCAATTGCCAATTTTTGATTATTTCCGTCTCAATGCCACTCGAGATTAAGTCAACAGTTCGATTTGAAATTTAATTATATTTAATTCGATTGCTTAGACTGGATTTATTAAGGCAAAATAAGATTTTGTGAACATCATGTTCTCTTCTAGTATTTAGAAATTTAGTATCAATAATGAAATAAAAAACTTGAGTACTTTTCAAGGTATGTTATTCCCAAACCAAAAGAACAAATTTTGCTTATTTTTAAAATACAATTTTAAATGATTTTAAGTCACTTAAATCTTTCACCCAATTTTTAATTGTAGTCTTAAATGATGACAGAATGTTTGAAATAAAAATATTTTTATCTCCGTTTTGGTAGTTTATTTTAATTGCATATCGAAATTGTGTCATTTCGATAGTCTACTTTTATCGTAAATTACAAATAAATAAAATAAATTTTTTTAATTATTTATTTATTCATTAATCACATGCAATCTTAATGCGTTTGGAAAGATTAATATATACACAAAGAATTCCTTGAAAAAATATGTTTTCAGCATATCCAATTTCAACATTGTTTTCGTCGGCTTTCGTTTTAATGAAACGACATGAGGCGAAATAATTTGCATATGGCATTTCCTGTAATCAATTGCAATCTTTTCATTCGATTGAAATGGCGAGACCAAGAGCAGAAATCAAGAGAATTAAACTTCAGGCAGCGAGGATGGCAAACAGCAATGGGAAATTACCACAATTGATGCATATAGACATCTGGGCAATGAGCAGATTCGCATTCAGGCAGACGATATTCTGTGGAATCATTTGCCTGCGGGCGGAAAATTTATGACAGTTTTCGGTTATTTGTGTCTGGCTGGGTTCCGATGTCTCTATGGCTCTATGGCTCTATGGCTCGATGACTGGATGGCTCGACAGTGCGAATGATGTAACCAGAAGGAGCAATAACAACCTGCAGCAGCAACAGCAACAGCAGCAGCAGCAGCAACTGCAACAGCGGCAACTGCTTACAAAATAATTGATTTTGTACACATCCTTGACACAAATAAACATTCGCTCGGCTCTGCTAAAGTTGAACCCACCATGAGCTAGCCATGTTGGGGGTCGCAAAGCTCTATGAAAATTTTGAATTAAATCCAAACAAAGCTGAAGGATTTTTAATTGAATTTGAGGGGCTTCAACACAGCCAGTTCAATTCGCAGTTTGCACAGTCACTGGGCGGCAAAAGTTTAATGAATCCAATGAAGTTTTTACGCTCGATTGGAGTGTTTGTGTTTTTTTCCATCTCCATCGTCTACGTCTCTGTAACAAACAGAACCAACTGGAGAGCAAATAACCAGAAGTACAGAGTACTCGGAAAATTGCTAGCCTGGGATACGACTGATTTAATCACCTGAAAACGAGCAACACAACTCGATTCTTTCATTCTACGACTCCAGGATATTGAGTTTCGAAAGGCACTCGTGGCACGGCCCCAAGTGCCACGTATCCACCCACTTGCCACCGCCAAGTCCTCGATATTCCTAGCCCTCTGCACTCGACACAGTGACAAGGGCCTGGCTGCAGGATGCCTTTGCATTGCAATCCACTGGGCCATCAACACATCAACAGGCCGCCAAATACTGCGCGAGTCCTGCCATCATAAATTCAGCACTCGCGTTCGCAAAAACTGCCACCAAAAGAGAATGGCAGAAGGGCAGAGAGAATGGGGCCAAAAGGCAGAGCTTAACCCACTAAAAACCCGGCGACTGAAGAACTGTTGGCTAATTTGCAGCTTCAATGCAGGCGTGTCGTTCTTTTGGGACACGGCTTAATTGAAAGTTCGGACAGGTCTTTGTGCAGCAATTTGATCACGGCACTTTCGCCCTTTCCTAAGCTGCTTTAAATCCTAGGCCAAAGGTTACGGGCGAAACCGACAAGGGCAATTATACATCTTTGGAAGGATCTTCTTATCTACCAAAAACTTGTCTCTTTTTAAGAAAGGATGTACTGATTTACACCTAAGAGAAACATCACCTAATATATTATTTTTACTAATATTATCTAGCATAAGTTTAAGAAAACCTAATTCCAAAAATAATTATAAAATCTTCATTACTATAAAATGTGTACTATTTTTTGTAAAATGAGATGATTTTTTTTATCATGTAAAAATATTGAATGAAGATTCATATATAGAAGTATTATAAACTAGCAGTGAAATTTAAGATACAAAGACTAATATGATTTCTGATCTTATCCATTTCCAGAAGGTGCAATTTTTGGTGTAAGATTAATGAAAATCAAATATAAATTTAAATCAATTTTAATCAAAAAGTTGTAAATTGACCTGATGAAAAATTCAAGACCTATCTAATTTTTCTTTTAACCGCACCATTTGCCCTCTTAGCCATGTCCTCGAAAGGACTTGATTGATTTAATTGCTTAATTGCCGGCTGGCTGAATGATGGACAATCGAAACGAAATACATCGGCTACCCCGACAATAATTGGAAAATCAATAGTGCGGCACCGGCTTAAGCAATTGCCATTTCAAATTGGATTCCAGCTAATTGTCTGTCAGTCGAAGAAGCAACTTAGTTGTGGTCTTGGTAAAACCGAAAGGCTAAAAAGGCGAGAAACTATTCGATTCAATTAAATTTGCATTAGGGCGAGAATGCATTAATAAATATTAAGATCTCAATTACACTTTGCGGAGCCAATTGAGTGCAGAATAAGGGGAGATCGGAGCTCCGTAGGTGAGTGGTTAGCTGGGATTTTTTGGCAGGCTACCAAGAATGAGGCAGCCGAAAAAGAATAAAAAAGAAATCAATTTGAAAGTGTTTGCCTGCCCCCCCTCCCTTTTCCCACTTCCTGGCACAATTACCAAGGCATTTTCGTTGATTTGCAGCACGTTTTCCCAGTTGCCAGCACTACCGCTGATGATTCCGGCGAAGTCGATGATGATGATGATTCCGGCAATGATGAAGCTGTCGTGGCACTTCAAGTGGTCCAAGATGTGGCACACAATTGTCACAACGAACACAGTATAGCGGCGAAAAAAAAAATCACTTTTTCCTTTGGCAGTTTGGAGTGGCAAGCCAACAAAACCAAAGTAGCTGCCTCGATAGCGACAATAATAATGTGCAAAAGGCCTTGTTGGCAGGCTCTTTTCCAAGAAAAACGTAAGGTTGCCGCTTTGCCAAACTTTAATTGACTTTAAAAGTATCAAATTCTGTTCCCAAAATCTTTTAGTTTTGCCCACTAAAGTAGGCAGCAGTCTTTTCCCGGAAAAGCCATCGAGATGGCCAACAATTGACAGCAGCTTTCAATATTACTGAATCGCAATGACCAGGGACCTTTGCCTGTCGCACCGAGAATCCCTTGAAATGCACACAATTTGTATATGCATTCGAGAGGTCCTTTGTGCGTGTTCCTCGTATTTGCATCGGTGTGCACTTAAGCCGAGCTTTGTGGTCGATTGCTTGACAGTTTCTTGCACAGAAAGGAAAAGGAAACTTTGAAATGCAGTACTTTCCTCTTGACGAAAAAGTAGTTTATTGGTTAAAAACTCTAGCAATATTTACTTCAGTATTAAATAGAAAATCCTAAAGTTTGTAGTTAATTTTGTCAGCTTTCTTTAAATATTATAAAAATGTTAGCATTCTGATTTTGCACTAAGGCCCAGAAAATCAGAATTGTGATTTCGTATTAAGGCCCAGAAAATCAGAATGCTAATTTTAATATTTTTTAAAATAAACGAACAATTACAAGTGCCTTTCCAGTTATCTAATCATTTAGTAATATAATAATCAAAGTTTCTATTAGAATATTTTTTAACTTACAACAAATGGAAAGTCTAATTTCAAATTAATATCGCATAAAATCACATAAAGACAAGACTTAAAACCTTTCTCAATAGAAAATAAGTCCAAAATCTTAAACATTTCCCACAGTGCCAATGGTTGGGGTGGAAAACAAACACTCAGAAATCCCAGATGAACCCCAGATCCCGAAGAGAAACAGTCGAGACGAAGCCATTAGACTCACCTGCAAGTCGGTTGCTGTGCCCGGCTGTGCCAGATCACAGGCTGATATCCAAGGATTAAGGCGTGTTAACGAAGTCGCAGTGCCGAGTATGGACTTCTTCAGATCCACGGGTGCTGGCAAGGATGTGGTGGTGCTGCTGTCTGCTGCTCCTGCTCCTGCTCCTGCCGACTCGGTGGTGGCCACGGCGGACAGGCTGTTATCCTTGTGGCCAATCAGCTGGGCCGTCTGGGCATCAAGGATGTGGCCGCTGGCCTCTCGTTTGTTATTGTTATTATCGTAGCTGTTGGCGAACTCCTTCGAGTGGCTGTTGCTGTTGTCGTTATGCTGCAGGACACCCTCATCAATCAGTCGGCTCTCGTCCTGCTGCTGCTGTTCGGTTTCAGTTTCCGTTTCCGTTTCGGCTTCCCTCTCTGTCTCCGTCTCCGTCTCTGTCTCCGTCTCGCTCTCTGGCTCTGTGTCTATTTCCGTTTCCGCTTCGGGTTGCTGTTGCCGCTGCAACTGCTGCTGCTGCTGCTGCAGATTGTAGTCCTCTTCGTCGGCGTCTTCGTTGAGCTTGATCAGGCGATCGAAGGACTCCTCGGACAGCAGATCGTCCTCGGCCACCAGGGCAAAGATGTCCTGGTCCTCGTCGTAGGCCTGCGAGGAGGGGAACTGCACGGTCAGGCCGCGATCCTCCTCCGTCTCCTCGTTGTTGTTGGCCTCGCCGAACTCTGTGCCCGCTGTGACCGCTGTTCCTCCGCCCGTTGCCAATCCCAATCCTGTCCCGCCTGCCCTACCTGCTATATCCCTGCTGCTGCTGCTCTCGCGGCGCCTTCGCCTCTGCTGCCTTCTGTCCGCAATCCTCGAGGTTATCCAGGACTCGGAGTGGGCCTGGTACTGGCTGTACTCCCTCGGCGGCAGTTGTGGGTGGAACTGGAGCGCGAAGTCGAGATGGTGGGGCAGGAAGATGGGCAGCAGGTATGAGCCAGAGCTGCGCGCGAATGACGACGACGACGACGACGACGATTCGCTAGTGGACGGTAACGTGGTTGCAACTCCTCCGCCTCCGCCGCCTCTGCCTCTGCCCCTTCCACCGCCGTCCGATGTGGTTGCCCCTGCTGCTGCTGCGGATGATGCTGCTGCCGCCGCTGCTGCTGCTGCTGTTGCTGCCGCTGCAGATGTTGCTACTGCCGCTGCCGCTGTTGGTGTTGCTGTTGCTGAGCTGATGCTGCTGCTGCTGCCACGCCGAGCCCCCGAAATAAACGCAAGCGCCATCACGACCAGCCCGGGTCCTGGCCGCATATTGACCTCGGGTTCGGCGGTGCTAGCATGGTGCAGGCCCGCTTGAGACGCGCTTGCGACTCCAATTCAATGCGAGTAATGATGGGCTCATGGCCCCATCATCATCAGTAGTGTGGGCTGCGGAGCGGTATTCTTGGTTGGCGATCGGCTCTCTCTCGATCCGTCGTCTGATCCCTCTGATCCCTCCGCCAGAGCCGCTCCAGCTTCAGTTGCTGCCCTGCGTCGTCCACATCCAGCGGCATGAATCCCGGCCAGATTCCCAGTTCCCTTTCGCCAGCTAATCACTGGCCAGCATTCGTATAGTCACCTTTGTTTGGGGGCCGCGATTTTCTCGATAAAAACACACTCCGCTTAACGCTTTAATTTTCTGTTATTCTCATACTATTATTATTTAATTATTATTATTATTGTTGTATTGGTTGGTGGTGCACAATAACCTTGGAATTGGAATTGGACATTTTGAAATTCGTTTGCTTCGTTGAATTGGTTTTTTTCTTTTTTTTATCTTTTACGTTGGGGTTTGGGTTGCTCACATAATTAATTAATTAAGAAATCTGCACAAAGACAAAGAAGTTGTGGTTAGGCACTTTTAGGGGCATTTTTCCGATTTTAATGTGTGTTTTTCAGTCAAAAAAAAAAATGTGGGGGGGGGAATGTTCGAAAATATTTTGTGCGCTCACGCTCTCGATTTCTCAATGCGCTCTATTTGCGCTCTCTCAAAATCATTAAGCTAATGGTTAAGAATATGTTTTGGGAACTTCTTTTTCTTGGAAAAGTGATTAGCAATAACTTTTCAAGGGGTTATTGGTGGCTTTTTTTTCCAGAGTTTTATTAATTTATTTTTAAGATTTTTCGCACAGAGCGAGATGGCACTAGCTCTTCGTTTTGCCGAAGCTTTTCAACGGTATAACCGACCGAACGCGAACACCGCACAAAAGAAGAAAGCCGAAAAAACGGTCGTGGAAATCCCGTATATCTAACACACACACACACACACACTCGGAGGCAGTGCAAAGAAATTTATATAATTCGCTGCTCTGCTTCTGCTTTCTGCTTTCTCTCTTGTTTTTGTTGGCTTTCGCTGCAAACACACAAAAACAGCGAACGCAGGGATCCACACAAGGAGCACGAGGACTCGAATTCGTGGGTGTAAGCCGTGGCTCTCTCACCCACACACACTAACACACACACGCGCGCTCGCTCGCTCTCTCTTTTTCGTCCTGCGAGCGCGGTTGTGTGCGTGAGTAGTTACTTAGGGCAGCCAGGCAAGCACTCCGCATGCCACTTTTTTCCCTTTTTTTTCTTCGTATTATAGCCAAGAAGAAGAAGTTGGCTAGGAACAAGAAGAAGATGAAGAGGAATAAGTGGAAGAGGCCGCAGGACCAAAAGAACTCGCCCCTTTCGCTGTATTGGTGGTAAGCCTATGCGTGTGTGCCTCTCTTGGCTTTCCCTCTACATTGGTATTGGTGTTAGAGCCTCAAATCCAAGAAGTGGAAATCGAAGAAGCATGTTTCGAATAAAAGCCAAACCAAACCTATGGAAATAAAAGTCCCAAATCATTTTCTTTTGACTTATAATAACCCTCGAGAACGTGTGTATCACAAAGGACTCTAGATTTTTTTATTCAGCATTTTTCGTGTTTCATTTAAATCCTCGATTGTCCTCTTCGCTTTCTTTTCGCAGGCTTTCTGCCTTCGCTCTTTGTGTGTTAACTTTCACTTTTGTTTTATTTGCTGCGTTGACACTGCGCACACACACACACGCACACACACACGAACGCACGCACACTCGTGGCTAGGTGTATATGTATAAGGATTTTCTCTTTTTTTTTTGTTGGTGCGTGTGCTGGCTGTGGGATCCTTTCATTTCAGTACAACAGCCGCTTATATAAGCCCGGAACGTAGCACGAAAACTTTGGAACACTCTTTAGCGGGTTTTGGGTTTTTTGTTTTCGGGTTTTTGGGTTTTTTTTTCTATATATACGTATATATACGCTGCGAATCGAATGGCATTATGATGGGCGAGCGAAAAACTCCCCGAAATGCGGGGGCATTAATTTTTGCATTATATAACATTTTGGTGGGGGGCGCAAACCGTCCGTTTTTCTGGGCGAGAATTAACGAGTTCGAAAGCACTTTGGTAACACTTTTTTTTCGAGTGGCAAATACTCGGCTTGGTTACCTATGTGCAAATATGTAAATAGGTAAATATGTACTATATACTCGGTGGATGGGGGGAGTAGGGGGGGTGGTAGCCCTACTTCTTCTTCTTCGCAGAGCGCAGCATCAACGGCCGTGTAACGGTTATTTTCGCATGTGTGGGCGGGGACACACGGTCGAATGCGGGGGGCGTGGCGTGGTAGGCAGTGCTCGAGAGTTATGCTTGGCAGATTTTCCTGCTTCTTTTTTTTCTATTTTTTTATTCGGTTAACATTACGTTATTTGGCTTTGATTTAGGGTTATATTTGGATTAGTTTCGCAGACTAGCCATCGCCCCCGGCCACTGTAAAAAGTCTGAGGACCCGAGTACCGTTTGATTCACTGAGTTCGCTGAAGGGCTGGATGCTCCTGCTGCTGCTGCTGTTTTTCTTTTTTTTACTGGCTAGAATTTGGTGTGTTTTTTGTGGACGCGACGTCGCAGGACAAATACCGTACAATCCTGCTTCCTGCTGATGGCCCCAAACGGCACTGACTGTGCCACAATTGCAGATGGCGCTCGACTGGAATGTGCGAGCGGTCCACAAGGAGCCGAGTCCGGCACGAAGTCACCCGAATCCTTGGACGAACTCACGCCCGAGGGCACAGCAGCTGACAAAGGAGAGCAGCCTGCTCTCCCATGCGCTGTCGCTCTCCGCCGTTTTCCAGGACTCGTCCTGCTTTCGTCCTTTAACAGAGCCCGCTGTTAAGTAGCAGAGATTTCGAAAACCCATTTTTAGGGCCAGTTCGAGTTGAAGTAAGAAGAATTACTTGCTGCAGGGCACTTAATCACACGAGCGGGGAAAGAGAGAGAGTCACTCAGAAGTCCCCACTTGACTCGACTCATCTATTTCGTCCTGGCCCCCTTTCGTCGTCCTTTTCATCCCGTACTGTCCCTCTGTTTTTGTCTTTACTTTTACTTTTCGGTCTCTGGCTTTTGTGTGCGCATTTCGTTATGGCGTTTTGTCTTTGTCTCACTTGGCCTAAATGTGTAATACCCTATAATGTCGTTTAATCCCACTCGACGTGTTTTAGTTTCGCCCGCCAGCTTAGGCCAAAGTCAGGCGGAGTCGGGATGTTGTCGCAGTCGATGGAGAGATAATTGCCAGGTGCCTCGGGAGGCGATGCAGTTCCCCAGTTCCGGTATCCTGCAGCTACTTGATTGGCAATTAGCGGCGGGATAATGGGGACACGGCCAATTAATATGGTTCACAATTGATGCGGCATAGGAAAACAATATTCAATTATTGTCGCAATATTATTTTGATCGAGGCAATACATTAAGAACTTTTAATGCTGATTTACAGATTTTCATTCTGTTACCTTATGTAGAGAATCGTATTAATCTAAAACTGAAATAATACAGCTTGTCGAAATTGGTTCCTTACTACACAGATATAAGCTACACATACATATATAAAAATACATTTTCAATTGCTTTTAATTGATATTCTAATTTTTCCAGCTCCAATGGCATTAAAAATATGTAATTATTTATATTACTTATTTATTATTATATTATTTATTTATTATTATATTTAAAAAGATATTATTTCAGACATACATACATATAATATCAATTCAAAGTAATTAAATCTAGCCCATGCCCAATTTTAAAGTTAGCAATGACCTTTTGGGCAGTTTAAAAATTGATTAAGTTATTTTCGAAAAATAATCCACGCAAGAGCCTTTTCAACGTGAACCGAGTTGATGACCAATTTCGGTGATGCATATTCTGCCGAGCTCTCGCCGGCAGTCCAATTGCGATGAATATCCAAGGCCGTGCCGACCTTCAAACAGACACTCGACAGCAGCAGAGTCAGTGGAAGTAGAAACAGCCACTCACTCAATAGTTGGCGGTTAGTCGGGGCAAAAGATGGGAGGACAGTGAATGGGAGGACAGACAGCACTTGAATTATTAAGTTTTCTTTTTGGTAATTAACTTAAGTAACTGCCACGACAAATCAAAGGGAAGGCCCGACCATGGCCACATTAGCCACACCCGATCCGATGGAGGCGTCGGCGAAAGTGACCAAGTGAAGTGGGTAAGCAAAACAAACAGAAATCGAAAAAATACAAAGATTACTATATAACAACAAAGGCGGAAGGAAAGTGGGCGAGAATCATTTGGCTTGGAAAGCAGTTTGCTTCAATTTATGCGCATTCCAATCAATAACTGTGACACATGCAAGGACAACAGGACGAGCAGAGAGGATGAACGGAAGGAAAGGACCCAGACCCAGTGCCAGTGCCAGACCCACCCGACAACAAGCACACTACCCAAGAATCAGCCAAGGAACCATAGAACCATAGAACCAAGAAACGAAGAACCCAAGGAGCCACGAGGAGAGTGAAAGTGCCAGGACATCGAGAACATGGAAGATGGCTCGCTGGTGTTTGTGGCATGGATATGAATGTGTCAAACTTATGCGGGCGCACACCCACACACGGGCAGGACCACTCACACACACACTCACCCACTCACCCACACACTCGCATGTCGGTGTGCGTGCAGAAATTGATAAGAAACGGAATAACCCTCAAGAAAATTTGCGGCGAGCGGGCGTATGTGTGTGCGGCAGGATGGGAGAGGCACTGAGAAAATGGAAAACAAAACCAAAATGCCTGCACAAATAACAAAATAATACCGAAAACTAGAAGGGAAACTTACCGCTTCGTGTTAAAGTACGAAGAGTCTTGGATACTCTTTCGAAAGATGAGGGCAATAAATATTCTATTTAAGGAAATTCCTATATCGGCTTGTACAAAATCAGTGGACTTAACTTTTAATAGGTTTTAAAGATTTTACATCTTAACTTATTCCTTTTATTAGTAACATCTTACAACCTTTTAATTTAACCGTATACCATTTTAAAATAAATGACTGTATCTTCAATATATCATAAAGTTGTACCTGAGCTTACCCTTTAACTATACAACAAACTATCCTTTGAATGTTTCTTTCTTAGATACGGTTGATCTTACTTTACATCATCTTATTAACCACATAACCCAGATATCAACCGCATTCATGCTCCGCTGATTAATTAAACTGATTCATTTTCTGTTTATAAATAAACTTCCTATGCTGATTGATGCGCAAAGCTCTTGGCTTGGCAGGACGTTATCGAATGCATTACCAGGACAGTTTAAAAGTGCGACGAGGGGGGTTTGATGGGTGCTACAGCTTTCTAGCCAGAATCAGACTCGTTATCGTCGCCGCATCTGACAGTTTGGTAAGTTGAGCATCCAATCGCATCGCATCGCATCTCGGGGCAGCATCCTCTTCAATTTCAGTGCCAGCTTCAGTTTCGCAGCTTCGCAGTTTCAGTTTCCCAATTCCCCAGTTTGCCAGTTTGGGTTTTCGGCTCCTAGCGTGCCAAGGTAGCTGCGACGCTCAGCTTTTCAGATATAACCGTTACAAGGACGCCGCCTGACCAAAACGAAAGCAAACGAATCGAAACGAAACGAGAGGAAAGCCAAGGCAGGGAAAGTGGGTGGCGAAAGGAAGCGGCAAGGATTTTGCGCAGTCCTTCCCTCGCGCAAGTCGCTCTGCTCATTTTATTTATTTTCTTCTTTTTTTTTTCCACACGCACCACGAAGAGCAAAGGCAAAAAGGAACGCTCACACACACAGAGAAGTGGCGGGAGGCAGAGGCAAGTTTTGTGAATGAAATTTCGCGCAGGCACAAAGCGGCCAAACAATGTGATAAAAAGGGAGGCAGCGGCAGGACATCCCCCGCCTTAGCCCAAATCCCTCGGGCAAGTCACGCGGCGAGCGGATGCACAGAGAGCCTTCCACCGCCCAAAACCCAGTGCCACCCGAAAAACAAAAGCAAACACAAACAATGCCGCCAAAAAGCACAGTCTAACTTCTATAAATCGAACTTTCGACAAGGGTAGCCCCACGTTGGGCGGCAATTATTATGACCTGGTGACATGTGGTCTCCGCAATTGAAGTTTGCCTGGAATTGCAAAGTTATTTTCCTACTTCGAGCACTTGCTTAATACAAAAATATCGAAGTCCAACTTCAAGAATTCGAACTTCACTAATTTGGTCCCAAGTTGGTCGCCAAATTTGCCTAAAGCCTAAAGTTACCAGTCAAGTTTAAAGGAGTTCGACTGTAATTTGTGTATAAAAAGAAGCTTGAAGGGAGTCGACAGCCGCTTCTTGCTGCTGCTTCCTTACTTTTCGTCGCCCCATTGTTGTTGTAGCGGGCGTGGTGTCTGCTGCCTTCCTGGAAACGCTGGAAGGCAAAAGGGAAACTAAACTAATGCTCGGCGCTTATCGATGATGACGATGACTCTGACTCAGATTCGAAATCGGACTCAGACTCGTTCGGTCCGTCCGTCTTGACCCACAAATGGGACCTGCTGTCTGATAATTATGCGAGCTACGAACTGCGAACTGCCAGCCATTGGAGATGGCGCTGGAGATACGGTTAAATGCGCGCAATAAAAGCGAAGGCGGATGGTGGTTGGGAGGTCGGTTAGCCAAAATAGGTTATTGCAATCTTCGCGATGGCAGGGGAAGCAAAATAAATGCGCAGATAAAAACATAAAAGAAGATTATGAAGGCAAACTTCTGAAAACATCTTGAATCTTGTCCGATTTAAATCGGACTTGACAGGATAATCTTCTCCTTAACAAGTTATATTTTCTAGGAGTTAGTATTGTAAAAAGAATAATACTAAGATTTTTAAAGCAAACTAACACCCGTGAGAATCAGATCACTGTTTCTTATAACTGTTAAAGAAGAAAGGTACTTCAATATCTTCCGCATTCAGTATTATAAATTAATGTCTTAGAGATATCAAACAAAACGTAAGATTCATAAACTGACATTGATCAGAACAAAATTTGAAGTTCTTTCTTTCTTTTCGTTCTTTTTAGTTTGACTATAGTCAAATGTGATAAAATCGAGAGTACTGGAGTAGCGCATTCGCCGGCCAACCATTTAAGGACCCTCACGCACCCACACTCTCGCATCGGTACACATATGCAGCACGTAAAATGTAAATTCCTATGGGTGTGTGCGGGTGTGCGGGTGTGCGGGCGAATGTGTTTGTTGTTGTTGGGTGATAAAGCCATAGATAGAGCGTGGGTGCATGAGTGTGGATAATGGCTCGTCGCAAAGTCGAAACGCACACACCAAGCCACCGAATGTCTGCACAAGCCCCCTTATTGCCCACCCACCGCCCACTCATCCATACTCTTGCAATCGCACACACACACACACACATACATGCGCGTCTCACATAATAAGGTGCGATTTGTCTCGCGCATAAAACGAAATTTCCTGCACACAAGCACACAGAAAAGGAAAGGGAGACAGGCAAAGGGGGTGGTTGAGGGGTGGAAAATGGGTTGGCTGGGGGGTGTGGGGGGTTGGTTAAGGGGGTAGGGGTAGCTTGGTAGCTGGCCAACAATAGTCGGCATCTTTGGCGGGATGAGGGGCCAGCTTCGATTGCTTTGTTGCTTGTACATGACAGCAAAAGCATTGGGTGTCTCTCTGCGTTTGTATGAGCTGGGAGGGGTGGGGGGGGTTGAGTGGGTGGCTCAGTGGGTGGCACGGTGGGTGGCTGGGCAGAAGGCTGTTCTCCGCATCTTTGTAGGTTAAGGCTTATGTCAAAGCAGGAAAATGGGCGACAAAAGGCGTAAGACGAGGCAAACTCGTTTGCCATAATTATTGCTTTTGTTGGTAGCTATCGTCCTTCCTTCCCCCACCCACCCCCTCTCAATCCTGGGCATTATTATTTTAACCGGAAATGTGCGCATATGTGTGTGCGTGTGTGTGTGTGTATGTGTCTCGCACAATTTGTGAACTGCATGAACTTTTGTGCCTTGGCCAAAAAGGAAGCTCTTCCTGTGTGTGCCGGCATTTAGCAAATTTTTTATGACAATGTTTGCCCCCCTCCACCCCTCCCCGTCTCTTTTCCGGGCAGCCCTTAATTTTATGACAAATATTATGTTAAAGACCGAATATGCGCTACACCATAAAAGTCAATCATTTTTCATTCCAGCTCCCTTGCTTTCATTTTTTGTATGTCCACTGGGGACATTTAATTTTGGGGTTTTTTTTTGTTGGCTGTGATTTTTCTTGATATGCGATATCGCTGTTTTCTGCGCGCTCTCTCTCCCTCTCCCTCTTTCTTCGTCTCCCGTCTCTCTTTTGCTTGGGCCAGCGCATTTGGGTGTTCGCGAGTGTGTTTGCCACCCACCGGGCAAGCTTTTGTTGATATTTGGCGCGGCCTGCTTCAATTTATGTTCTGTTTGCCTTTATTGTCTTTCTCGACTTTTTTCCCTTCACTGTTTGTTGTCCTTCTACAGTTGAGCTTGGCTAAATACATCTTTTGTGATTAACTGACGGCACTAGTGGCTTTTATAATCAAACAAGAATTTATGAAGAAATTATCACTATCAAAATAAAAATGTTTTTTTAGAGAGAATATGGTAGTTAATCTTCAATAATATCTTCTTTTGGAGATTATAGTACTTAATCGTTAATAAGATTTTGAACAATACACAACTAGCAACTTTATTTTATAATTATGATTTATTTTAGGGTTAATTCATCAATGAATTAATAGCCAGAAAAATTCGACACTCCTTACTTTTTATTTACTATTTATAAATACTAAAAACTACTAGGAAAAGCAGATGTTAGGCTAAATATATCAGTTGACTTAGGCAAATATTTATTACAAGACGATTATTTTGTTAACATTATTATAGACTATAAAGGAACAATTACAGCTTTTTTTTATAAAGACCCCAAAATAGTGATTAATTTTATGGGGTTGAATATTGATTTCACTTAAAGACTTTCTCCTGTATTCTTGATGGGGGTGTGTGCTGTTTTTTCCGCTCCTGCCCGCTGCTTTCATTTTTTTATTGATAAGTTCATTTAATGGGCATGGCCTCCGCCAGCTGCCATCTCATCTCGCCTCTCTGTCACTGCCAATCGGAGCCTCTCTTTCCTTTTCTCGTCCTGCTGCCATTGTCTCCGTTTTGACATTTGTTGGAGTGGCCGCCTAATGAGTTTAATGCTTTGTTATCATCGCTGTAATCGGCTTATGTAATATGGCAATATAATTGAATCCCACAGAATTATGTCATTCGACTGAGGCACGGAATTTACAATTTACAATTGCAAATTCACAAATTGCCAATGCTGGCAATGCAGCACCTGCCCCGAAAATCATAAGGGAAATGTGTGTGTCAACATGGGAAAGCCACTTTCACTCAGCGAGCAAATGAAACTTAACGGAAAAGAAAATTACATCATGCTCGTTTCAATGGGTCGACATAATATTATTTTTTCGGTCCGGGCGAAAAAGGGACAGAGACGGCATAGCACCCAATGGGTCCTTGTCTGGTAGTCAATTTTTTATTTATTTATTTTATGCCTACGCACATACGCGCCTGGGGAAAGTGGGGAGCAGCGTGGGGAAAGCGGAGAAAGCGGAGAAAGTGGGGGCTTGACAGGTGTCGCCGACTGAGTGGCTGCCTGACAGACTCGCAAAAGTGGGTGTGGCCCATCGGCGGGGTGGGGTGGTGAAAAATGGTAGCCTATTATTCTTTGTATTGTTTTATGTGGCATTTATACGCGTATTTTTGTCGTCTTTTAATAGGCAAGACAAGGCGAATGGCGAACGGAGAACGGCGAACACCCCGTCGAGTGGAAAATAACAAGGGCAATAGACCAGGCCACCCAAACCCTCCAAGCTGGAGGGCTAGGGCTCCTCTGCCCCGTATCGCCATCCAATCAGTAGATAAATAACACATAAAATGAGGTGCTTAATCGGGTTTGAAGTGATGAAAGTGAAACTGAGCCATGGGTATGCGGTCCGTTCCGTTCTGTTCCGTTCAGTTTGCGTGTGTCTCGCCGGAGGCGATGGCTTTGTCTCCGGCGTAAATCTCGAGTATCAACCGGGTATTTGAATATCATTTGCGACCGCCAAATTTCGCAGTGTGCGTGTCCTACAGGCGTGACGGCATAATTCCACTTTAAATTGCACGCGTACACAAGTAATTTGTCAGCATTGTTTGCATAAATTAGGTAGTCAAAAATGGTTGATTGGCAAGTGCCAAAATAGCACACAAAATGTCCAGCTTTCATAAGCACTTCATTTGAAATTGGCGCACATTGCCGCAATTATCGATTTTTTAATTGGTATTTTTAGTATTTTTCATAAAAGGCGCTAGGATATTTATCGATCATTTTTGCGACTTGAATATTGAAAATCAGAACTTTTAATTTTTAAACCAACCCAAAACTTTACCAAAATCGACATGATTTAGTTATTAACTTTGATTTTTATCACACTATTAATAACTTTTTTCTTTCATAACTCAACTTTCCCCTCCGGATAACAATACACAGAATTTTATATATATGTTTAAACAAATAAAATTTAAATAACAAGTTAGCAGACTCTGAGAAAAATCAAACGATGAAATCAAATGAAAAATATCAAGCTATATAAGGATTTAGTAGAGGATAAGATAAGCCATGTGAAGAAATGCGAAGATTATGTGCTGCTTATTAACGATTTGCATTCCTCAAAGTAATATTTATAATAATATATTATACAGCATAACATATTATTTTAAAAAAAATCAACGGTTTGGGGACTAACAATATTGCCCCATTTTGTAAAAGCGAATAAACCCATCAACAAGCGCTGCCACCCACTTCACTTAGCGGAGTTTCCCTCGCAACCAGCGTTGCCAGAATTTCCGTTTAAACGAGCCGTTAAAACAGCAATAGTCGCATGGTTGGTATATTTTTGTATCTTTTGTTGTTGCCCGTTTTATGGCCACACTTTTACGACTCCAGCTGTGCGGATCAAAAAATTATAATCAGAATCAGTATTATTACGCACATAACTCCCCAAGCCAAGCGAACGAAATCAAAAGATAAGCTTCTGCATTTCGGCCGGTCAAACAGAAAAACAAAGAAAATAATTTTACGCACGGAAAAAGCTCAAAAAAGTGTTGCGGCAATTGGACAGGAAAAAAGTTACCCATTGCAAAGTAAATATAAATATGTAGAACTGCATAAATTAGCCAGGCGTTACCGTTTAACTATTTTCAATATCGCAATTAAGTGGTGGCTAGCAGACTTGTTGCTTTTCCAGTCGCCATATCGCCGCTGCCATTTATTGATTTTGTTTTTGGGCTCTTATCAACAACCTGCTCCGCCCACTACGCCCGCCCCCCAAAATGTATTTTTATTTACCCACCAAACAATTGGCTTCCGAAGCTATCTTATCAGTCAGTACCCCGAAAATCTTGCTAGTTTGTTTATACCAATTTACGCTTTTGAGCTCATCAGTCAGCATTAATCCGTAATTGGATGGAGATATCTGGAGAACCAGATGCTAATTGGCCAATGGCTTTGTTAATCAAGTCGTTACCCCAAAAAAAAAAAACACCTGAAATCGAACGTGTTAAATAGTAATTTACGCCTCGAATAATGCCGCACCCACTCAAACAAAATCAATAAATGCAGCTCCTGTCCGCCCACTAACCCACCCACTTTTCCTTTTATCCATTTCAGCTGCAATGATATCGTAAATTCGAAGGCCTATCTCTCTGGCAACCATATTCAAATCGACCCTTTATCACTTTCGGAAAGCATAAGCCAAAAACGTCGCAAAAATGAAACTGAAACGCTGGCGGCACAAGCGTAAATAGTTATTTGCCTACAGATAACCGAAGGAGAAAGACATTCCCTTTACAGCTGAAAAATAAACATAGTTCGTTTGGAAAACATTCGAAAATAAGTCGGAAAATCATGCTGGGTCGCACCCAAAAACTGCTGCTGGGCATATCAATACTGATACTAGTCGATGTGGTTTGGGTTTCCTCCAGCGAGCTGACAAAGGTGAGAATTAAATTTTATACTTCTAAGATATCGTTCTAACTTTTGTTAATATTCTACCTAGTTTCTGTATAATGAGGCCAACTTTGACAAGCCTTTCTTCTGCACTTACTTCAAAACATCTATGTTTAGCATTTACCTGCTAGTCATTGGTATCCTGGCGCCTTGGAAAGAGTCCTGCGAGCGACAAAATGGAAACTATGCTGTAAGAAATTAGAAATCTCCGCCTAAAACACCACTAAATGTTTTTTTCCACAGATGATGGAACAGAATGCTGATGACGAGAACTACTACACCAATCAGGCTGTTTTAGTAAGAAAATCAGGTTAAAATTAAAAGCAGGAAGTACTATAATGTGTAATTGTACTTTTACAGGGAGATCCCACCTACGTGCCCATCAGATCGCCGCATTCGGGAGCCCCAGCCACTAATGGCACCTCGAACTCTTTATCCGGCACCGAAAGCGATGACTCCAGTGTGCGCAGTGTGCGATTCAGCAAAATGGCTGAGGTTAGGGAGATGTCCGCCCATGAAGCCACCGATGCTCTAATGGCCAGGCTTTCCTATGCAGCCAGTTTGAGGATTAGGAGGCAGAAGACCCACCACAAGACGGCCAAGACTGCGCTGTTGTTTTGCCTGCTATGGTTCGTGGCCAATTACTTCTTTCAATTGGCCCTGGAAATGGACGAGACGGCCATGATAACGCTGGTCAGCTCCACGTCGTCGTTCTTCATTATCTGTCTGGCGGCCGTGTTTCCCTCAGCAACGGGTGATAAGTTGACCATCACCAAGGTGATTGCGGTGTCCATGAATATTGGCGGCATTGTGGCCATTACCATGAACGATCTCCACGACACAAAGATGACGCGAGGCGTCCTTTTGGCCCTGTTCAGTGCTTTCTTCTACGCCGCCTATCTGGTTTTCGTTAAGCGAAAAAGCGATACAGAGGAAAAGGTTGATATACCTTTGTTTTTCGGTGAGCCAAATCATTTAATTTGGTTGTGATATCATGGCTTATCTAATGGCTTTCTTTTAGGTTTTGTTGGCTTATGGAATCTGCTGCTACTGTGGCCGATATTCTTTATTCTGCACTTCACCAAGATCGAGACCTTTGAGCTGCCCAGTCAGGGTCAGTTTGCCCTACTTTTTCTGAACGGATTAATTGGCACGGTGTTAGCCGAAGCACTTTGGTTGTGGGGCTGCTTTCTCACCTCCTCGTTGATTGGCACACTGGCCATGTCACTGCAGATTCCGCTGGCCATCCTGTTCGATGTCCTGCTCAAGAACAAGCCGTATTCCCCGATGTTCTACATGGGTTCGATACCCATTTTCCTGGCCCTGATTCTCGTATCGCTGCTGATGCGAAACGACGATTCCGATCCACTGATGAAGCTCTTTAGAATTGTATATAGAAAAGTCTGCCGTTGCCATAAGCCAAGTATTGTGAGGTGAGTTTCTTTTTCGCCCTTAATGAACTGCCTTTGATCAGGATAATTTCTCATGCAGGGTCAACGATGACGAGCAGCAGGAGTCGCTGATTAGCAACAGCGAATAAACGCACCGATGGTCGGAGGCTTTTTTGAGAAAATCGCGCTTCTACACACTTTGAATGTTGCTCATTGCAATGCAATCTAAAACTTGGCTGTTCACGAGTTCGTTTCGAATCGTTCTTTAATCTATAGGGACAAGTCCTGCACAATTCCCTCTTTGCCCTAATTTGTGTTTCTCATTTGTGCATTTTCCGTTGGATATTATTATGTTGCGATCTTACGTACAACTATTTATTATAATCTTACAAGTGTATTCTCTGTAAATAGCTTTAGCTCCCACGAATACCGTTTATCTATGTGATAGTCTACAAACGTTTTGCTGAAGTCCACCTATAATTTATTGTATTTTCTCGGTATTCACACTGCGCTTAGCTGTATAATTGTTGACTTCTCAATACAAGTGAATATAAGAAGACACATACACATATTGATAACTAATAACAATAAATAAAATTTGTCTACCGTAAGCTTAAAAAGGGATTGTGTAAAACTCTGCCTAAAGCAAATATACATAGAATCCATCAGTAAAGTAAAACTTCCCCTTGAGTTGAGTTTATTTTTCTATAAGCTTTGAAGGTGCTAGGTCACATGTTTTTATTTATGAGCATAAGCCTAATCTGAATCACAAGTGAATCATGTTAAGCGAAGCTTATCGTCCACTCATTCCGAATTATAATCAACACCATAGCAGTGTAAATAAGTAAAAATTATTAGAATTTTCGCCAAAAATTTTGCTTTGCGCTAAATTAGAATTTATATTTTTAGTTCGTTCATAAATTTCATTAAATTCATTACTCGATGTGTCATCAAGTAGAACGAGATGGGAAATTTGAATAACAGGTTAAAGGTATTCTGATTCTAATTGTTTCGTTTATATAATTTCGACTATACTTTAGAAACATGACTGATGTTTATTTTTAATTAATTAGTACCAAATTTTAAGCACATTAATTTATTAGTTTACCCACTAATTTAATTTCAATCTAACTGATGTATATTATCAATAAATTTTATCCCCTAATTCATTGTAAGAAAACTTAATCCATTAGTAGGAAAACTTAGTTTTACTTCACTCCTGCATAAGTATAAACCATCTTGTTTTCTATTAACTCACTCACTTTAATTTTCATCCTAGACTCTTAAAATATGTATTTACAATAGCTGACGCTTAATCTCTACCGCTTAACTAGGTATGTAGTACTCAATAAGATCACACAAGTTCATTTCTGTACTGAAAGCGCACACAAACTGTCATCTGTGTGGCCCAGAGTGGCACGGCGAATGCTTCAGTTCCGTTTCCCCGTGACTCCGGCGGATCACACCGCGGTTGGCGGAGGAGCAGGTGGGCCGGAGCCAGAGCTGGGCGGGATCTGTGCGGCTCGGGAGGTGGAGGGCTCCATCGGCTCCATCGCAATGACCGTGGCTCCTCCGGCGGCCGCCTGAGGATCGGTCTCCGAGTATGGAGGAGCCGGCAGTGCCGCAATCCCAATGGGACCGGGTTCACCCAGGGGCGACTGCGGTGTCCCCGCTGCCGCTGCCGTGGGCGTGGTCAGGTTGCACATGCGCATCACCTCGTCGTAGCTGGGCAAATCCTTCTCGTCCTTTTCCAGTTGATCGCGGATGCGGTTGGCCTCTACGCTCCCTGGCTCAATGAAGAATATGTCGCCATAGCGATTGCCGGAAGGCTCCTCCGGCACGTTGAACACATTGCCTTGGCGGTCTGCAAGACATCGAAGGATAAACGGTGAGTATGCATGAACAGAGAGTTTATGTCTTATAATTTAATTAAATATTTTTATATAAGCTGACTGACATTATTTTGTATAATTTAAACAGAAATATTGGAATAAAATAAATGTTTCACAGCCACCATTTAGTTCTTACAAAAACCTCATTAAAACGGGAAATCAATCGTTATACAAATATTATAGGTCAAATAAAGAGCAAATTCTTTTTTTTATCCGATAAGGTTATTAGTCTCATTAAAAGCTACTTCCTGGCAATTTATAAAAAAAATTTAACCGGTTAACACCGACACATCAGCGATAATGCATATCATTATTAGAAGTTATTAAGATCTGAAACCAATTAAATGGTTTTTTAATAGGAATGTCGAATTGTCTTCTAAATCTGAACAAAAATCTAAAACTTCAAATTTGAAATTTGAGTCCAACAAAATAATCAAAATAGGTATGAAACGTATCTTCTGGTTCACTATTTATCACACAGTTTACTCGTGTTTTATACACATTTTAAATTAATCATTTAACTATTTATCACTTTATCACAGTTGTTTTAAATAATACGTTGTAGGCAAAAACATAGTTAAGACTTTTGGAATTTCACGCTGATAAGCCACATTTGATGACCGATTTAGGTGACGCTTTTCCCATTTTTCCCTGCCATACATATATATCGACACTGTTTCAATACCAGTTCGTATTTGGCGACGATTGCGAGTCCGCGAGTCGTGCATGCGCTTAGCCAGCTATCGAATATACGAAACGAATAGATAAATCAGTTGTGGGGCCATTGTTCCGGCTGAAGGTCGTCCAAATCAGCTAGGCGCCAAGGGATAATTACGTATATAAGCTGGGCGACGACAAATATGGCGAACACAAAGCCCAGAGCCACGCTCAGATTAGCGATCAGACCCATTCCGCGATCCTCGAAGACTGTGGCCAAAGTAATCGCCACCAAACCCAACCGATTAGATAGGCTCCCCTTCTAGCCACTTTTGGCACACGTTACCAATTCCGATGTCGTATCGCGGTCGCTGTCGATTCCGAGTCCCAATCCGATTCCTCTGTCTCTGCTGACGTCGACATCGCGGCTGGCAGAACTTGGCCAGCGTTCTGCTCTCCACGCGGATGTAGTAGCAGGCCAGGGGGATCAGGCAGAAGAAGAAGAAGACCAGGGCCAGGTAGATGGCCACATGTAGCCCCAAGTCACTGCCCCAATCCATCGCGGGCTCGGATCCGTGCATTGTGGAACTCAGAACGACGCGGGCAGTAATCAAAGCCCAACTACAGCCACCAACTGCGTTTTCTGGGCCTAGTATTGGCCATAGTTTGCCGTTTGGCACGCAATTGATTAGTCGCCCGAGATTAGATTGTCCGCCATGTTTGCTTGGCAATACCCCATAAAAGTTGCTCCATTTATCAGATATACAATATACAACACGACGTCCCGGTTGTCAAACAATCAAAAGACATTGCAACTTACACATCTCAAATCGGGAGTTTCGCGGTCTGGAGCAGCAGAATTTCAAGATCCAAATGACAGCGAACTTGTGAAAAACAACAGAGGGTTAACGAAAATCAAGGGAGGATCGCTAAGAGGATCACCTGGAGGGCCGCGTAGGCCACAAAGCCAATCAGCAGAAGTACGAAGAAAGTAACCAGGGGACCCGCTTCCATTGTGCATCGAGCTCTCCAGCAGACTGACCCCCTAAAAACTGATTTGCAATATCTGCAAGGCAAACGAAAGGTCCCTTATCGCTAGAGTCCACGAAAACAAACACTCCAGGCTTTATGGATTTATAGAAGCACTTGATCATCAAACCCGCCCACTCACACACACTTGGCCACAGCATATCAGTTGCTCAATATGTCAATCCATCAATAGGCCTGATATGCCCACTCATCAATACATACCAATGGTAACCATCCGACGTTCACGTTGACGTCGTCGTCTACGTCGCCGTCTCGCCGGATCCTGCAATCCCCCAGTATCGGTTCCACAGCATTTGTTTAGAACAATCCATAGTATAAACTTTCGAGGGAATATCGAGGGAGATAAGTGAAGGTTTGGTCTGGTATGCACCCTTACATCCCTCGCTTAAAATCTTTGGTACAGTAAAATAAGAATAGTAAATTTTTACCATTCTAAATTCAAAATTTTAGGTATTACAATAGTTGTAGCCAAATATAACTTCTATAACTTGAACTTCCCCAACTGAATTTTCTCTATAGATCGAAAAAGTTCGAGAACAAATGCAAATAAATACGGAAGTTTGAGCGTAAATCGTTTTAAATTGATTGATTTATCATATCATCTAAAACAGTTATCATTTAAGCATTATTTAAAATGTTGTTTTGTCAAAAAAACAATCTCGAGAGCCATAACAAAATCTATTTCCAAGGGATTACTTATTTTGACACAAATTTAGCGCTTTCGTTGGCAGTTATGGTTGATAAGGAAATTCATCAAAGAATAACAAGCGATTAAGGGAGGGACAGGTGCAAAACAATACGGGAAAGATACCTGCAGAGCGAAATAGACCATGGGCATGATCAGGAAGAAGACGAAGAACAATCCCACATAGAAGAGAAAGAAATCCATTGTGATAAACTCCCGTCAGCTAAATACACAATCGAATCACTTGAGGGGCGAGTTAAAACTGAGAACTCTCCAGAGCTAAATTCAAACTAATCTTATCTGGGCCAAGTGTCTATGTGTATATATATATTCACCCACCGATAGCCGCCAAAAATAAGTCCAATTAACTTTGTTTTGAGTGCAAAAACACCTACCACGTCTTCGTCGGCGACTCCTGGAATCCCTGGCCTCGAAGCACACCCAAAGGCAGAATCTCAGGCAGCAGAAGGTAACCCCGCAGGAGATGATGGCCAGAAAGAAGAAGACCAGGTAGGGCGGTACGTTGGACATTCTGGGATCGGATAGGGCGGGATATCCACGTGGATACGGGAGCACCGGCGGCGAAGATATTTGCTCCATAAAGAGGCCTTAGGCCAACTGTCATATCATAACGCGGCGCTGGCTTTTGGCCAAGACTTATCGGCGGCTGGTGGAAAAAAAAGGAGGGAAAAGAGGGGGCGGCGAACAGGTGTGTCAAGGGCCATGTGATAAGCGCTCGGCGAACAAAGTCCGATAAGATAGGCGCCTCTCTCTCTCTGTCTGTCTGTCTCGCTCCGGCGTTCTATTATAATAGAAAGGTACACCTGTATGCGGGCCGTAAATGTATCTGTATCTGACAGATATGCGCATAATTGCGCTTTGGATAATGTCAGTCGGGCACGTGACTTGCAAAGGTCTCGGAACTACTTAACAAAGCAAAAAGAAAAACTAAACAATATTTTAAAAGAAATTCCAATATTATTTAAGACCGGATTTTCATTACTGCCAAAACATCATCATAAATTAAACTTGAACTAATAATATTTAAATGTCAAAATATTCCCAAGCTTACTAGATCGTTTTTCTTAGTGCAATGACTAGTTTGATTATCAAATATCAAGTTTTCTAATAGATAAGATAAGACAAAACAATATATACATAAAAGCCAATATTTACAAATTACAACTTTTTATTTGTAGATTGCTGATCTCGGGAAAAATTAGTTGAAATTTTCCTATTGTGGAATTTTACGAATTTTTTAATATTTGTAAAGGGCACTATTTTTAAAGAGCTGCTTTTTGTACAGAAAACTTTACCTTTTCAAACTTTTGTTATACATTTACTAGGATTTATATTACTGCGGATATTTAAAAGTTAAGACAGAAGAATATTTTCCAAATTTTATACACACAAAAATATGTAGTTATTAGTAAATTTTATATTACGTATACGTAACATAAATACGTATACATAATTACGTATACGTAACATAAATACGTATACATAATAAACTTATGCGAAATTTCTTTAATTCTTTATCAATAAATTTGTACACAAAATCTTTCCCTTCATTATTTAACTCATTTGAGAATGAATAATTATATTCTAGGCTTAGCAACGAGTTAATGTAAGTCCCCAATTGTAATCCATCAAACGCAATCCAAGCGTGGAAGCGCGAACATAACACAATTTGTAATTAATTCAAAGCGATTAATTTGTGGTCAGACAAAAGAACACACATTTTTGAAGGCCGGAAGAACCTTTTCACCGCGAATGCGACTGCCACAAATCACCGCGGACCACCTGAGCTGGCTCACCTGCTCTCCAGCTGAGTCGACTACTCAATCCCGGGGACGAGGGGCAGGAGGAAGCGAATCTGCTCAAGGGCGGGCTAACCGGCGATCTTCGGCGCCGCTTCTGGGCCACACATCTCTGGAATGATCTGGCGGTTTTCACTTCCGTCGGGAGTTTAAGTGTTTTTCTCGCCCATAACTCACACTGACAGAAAAGTAGAAAATCAGCAGGAAAAATACCAGCAGGATACTGAACTCACTCCAACGGAACTGATCACCCATTTTACGGAATGGCTACACTTATGTTCATTCTCGACCTGCCTACACGGGCATCTGAATAAATTAATTTTACTGCCACCAATTTGGAGACCAGCCCAACCAGCCGAACCCATCGATAAGCAAAGCGGTGAACGACAGAAAGATAACCTTATCGGGAAACGCTCGTGACTCATGGCTGCTCACCTGTGTTCAAGCTTACTCCTGATGGATCGATTCTATAGCTCTGAAGCACACGTCCTGTTGGTCGATAAGCCGGACTTTCACCCGGAACAGGACCTCGATCTGGACCACGCCCACTGGAGGTATTCTGACTAGGAACCTTCTGCCGGGCGCAAAGACAACAAGCCTAAAAGGTCAAAGGCGGATCACTTAGATCATCCAGTTTTCACAAAAAAATGCAACCACAACTTACTCGAATCAAGATCGCTACAATGGAGATTATGAGGAACCAGCCGATCATCATAAAGGCGTAATAGGTCATAATAAAATCAGTCAAATTAAAACCGGAAGCCTAGGACAGACAATACAATTTTTGCACCGTTCGCCGCGCACAAGAAACCTTGCTGAAATGGCAAAGGCAACGCCAGTCATTGCCAACAGCCTAATCACCAAACAAAAACCAAATCAAACACAAACCTTATCAAAAGATGGACAAATTTGCGATTAAAACTGGGCGCATACACGCACATTTAACACAATCGGTAGGAATGATCGTGTGGAAGAACTTATGCACCTGGGGATTCGTCCCTTTCAACAGTAATACTGCAATCGGTATATACGTTTTTCCTGCTGGAGTAGCACAGCTGTCGAATTAAAAATCATGATTAACGTCATAAAGTACATTTCAAAACCAGGAATACTACTCTTGATTAAAATGGTTTAGCTCATGAATTGTACACCTTAAAGATATAAAAGAAATCCTAACCTTAAAAAAAAAAAAAGAAAAACGGTCGTGATTCATGGCAGCTCACCTGTGTTCAGGTTTACTCCTGATGGGTCGATTCTATCGATTCCTGGTTCACGGTTAGCCGGACTTTCACCCGGAACAGGACCTCGATCTGGAATACGTCCACTGGAGGTATTCTGACTAGGAACCTTCTTCCGGGCACAAAGACAACAAGCCTAAAAGGTCAAAGGCCGATCACTCAGATCATCCAGAGTTTTCATGAACAAATTCAAACACAACTTACTCGAATCAAGATCCCTACAAAGCAGATTTTGAGGATCCAACCGACCACCACAAAAGTGTAATAGGGCATTTTTAAATCAGTCAAATTAAAATCGGAAGATAATAGAATTTTTGCACCGTTCGTCGCCCATAAGAAACCTTGCTGAAATGGCAATGGCAAAGCCATTCCCAACAGCCTAATCACCGAATAAAACGAAATCAAACACAACCCTTATCAAAAGATGGACAATTTTGAGATTAACACAATCGGTATGAATGATCGTGTGGAAAAACTTACGCACCTGGGGATTCGTCCCTTTCAACAGTAATACTGCAATCGGTATATACGTTTTTCCTGCTGGAGTAGCACAGCTGTCGAATTAAAAATCATGATTAACGTCATAAAGTACCTTTCAAAACCAGGAATACTACTCTTGATTAAAATGGTTTAGCTCTTGAATTGTACACCATAAAGATATAGAAGTGCTGATAATTATTTAACCTTATTTAAGGTTATAAAACTTGCAAAAATGAAAGCAAAAAAGAATGAAAAAGTGCAAGCTAAGGTATAATGTTTAATCGGATAATAGCACTTACGCACCTGTGGACACACCCTCTTCCACATGACTTTCGTCATGGGAATTTCCGCATTTCAGAAGTTTCCTGATATTGGAGCACAACTATAGAAGCAGATAACAAATTTAAATAAACAAAAATCTATTGTAAGATCAGGAATATACCTCATGATTGGAGATTCTTCAAAGTATGAAAGCTGAAGAGTGCTCAAGAACTTGTTTCTTAAATTTTGATAAGTTTTCAAGATTAATTTTAATCATTTTTTACAACCAAAACTATCAGTACTCTTCGGACTTTTTTTTAGCATTACCATCAAGAATATATTCCTGATTTGAGAAGTGTTAACTCACAACGAACACCAGGAAAACTAAGAGAGCTATGTAGAAAAAGTCGATGACTTCCATTTCTTAAGAACAATGAGACGAGTAGAGTCTGCGATGGATTAACTTAGACTGCCGGTAATTTGCGAGGAACGACGGAGAATGCCATTCAAGTTGTTGGCTCATATCTTAGAATTTTGCTTATTGTTATATCGCTGTTAACCCCCCCCATCGAACAACATGCTATATCTTATCAGCGGAGCTTTTATAGTATTTCTTTTTCGCAAATGATAAGGAACCTCTGGATCTTACCCTCCATGGCCATTCGCAACATCATCTCGTGGCGCAAAAGGCGGGCATACACCCGCATGTTCCACTCATCGATCTTCAACTTGATAAACAGATAGCACTCCTTGGAAGGGGGTTACGACATAAAATATCTGATCAGGGGAGTGGGTGGGAACCTACCCGAGCGACAAGCGATACGACGATCAGCAAGATAAAGCCAAAGAACCAGATCTCCACATACATTGGATTCTATTGAGCGGTTTTTTATATTCAATTTCCCGGCTGCTGAATTAGATCAAAATATTCTAGTTTTTCACATTCTAATTTGGACAAATTGACTACTGAAAGCGGAGTTACTTTATACAGTCTTCGGATAAATAAACTCACCAGATTCCCGCCTATATTGCAGACAGCAAACGCACTTCCACTTGTGATTGGGACAGATATAGGACCTTATGAGTATAAGGAATATTAGAATGAAGGATATGAAGTAGTAGCCCTCAACGAAATCCATTTTGAACCGATTCTGGGCGATGTGGAATAACAAATGAGCAGAGGCCCACGGGATAACAAAAATAAGACCCGGGAAAATTGTGATAAACTCTTACGATAAACCGAGATAAAGTCAGCGTTGCATCAACTTGACAGCTTGGGTAATTCGGCTGAGTTACCAGATAAGCAAATCGGAGCTAATTATAGTCGGAGGCAATAAAGCAGGCATGTGCGACCAGTTACGACTTGGTTATCAACTATATGGCTAAGTCTATTTGTAGGTTTTACGAATCCGGCTTACCATTACGAGTGTCGATGGACCTCTGCGATCTGGCCCTGTAATCTCTGGTCTGGCCAGCTCTCTTGGCCTTGTGATATGCATTGGAAATGAACTGTTTTTTGGGGGAGGAAATACTTTATTGCCCACTTCCGGATCAATGTTCTACTCACGACTATTAATATAATGATGACTAGTAGCACCACCGAAAAGGAAGCCATCCCAGAAGCCATAGCTTTATCAATCCGCTCGGTACAAATGCTTCATGACAACTGACTAGCTATCAAAAGCTGTCGATTTCGTGAACCCCCCCTTATTCGATTGCTCATTATCCATATCTTATCACCGTATTACCTGTTTCGTAAATACACTTACCTCTATTGGAATGCCTTCTGCCCGCCGAAATTGCTACCTGTAAAGCAAATACATGTTTTAAGTGTCCTCTTCAATTGTAAAACACAACTCACCTTGATGAACATAATGGCGCCCAGGACCAGCAAAGCCATTGCAATATAAAAGGCGGCAGACATTTTGGTTTTATATGTCCCAAATATGATGAGTGCGAAAAGCCAACTGAATGTCTGCTCTTCAAATCGCAGATGTATGGAGTAATCGAACGCCACAATGCTGTATTGCGCACATACTTAATCGGTCTACACTAACTGCCGATTAAAATTTATCGGTCAAAATTATATAGTATTACTATAGAAACCGAAGTTTGGAATACCCTTGTGGAATATACTTAATTATAATTTCAGTCTGATAATAAAATCAAGTTTATTTTTTGTTAATGGTTAGCTTTTTTTGGAAAAAAATGTATATAATTTAAAAATAAAGTTGAGAAAATACATATATATTTTAATTTATTTATATTTTAAATAGAAATACCAAAATTTGTTGGAACGATTGTAATGATCAAAAGCCTTATTGAAATAAGAAAATCAATAACCAAATTCAAAATTTAAACCAAAATTACCTATATCTTTCTGCATAAATTTAAAACACCCCTTCCGAGTAAGGGTTTAAAAATACATGGAATTTCTAGGAATAGAAAAGCAGACTGAGGTGAATGGCAGCTTTCTAAAATCATTGAGTGCGCCCCCCAATAAAACGGAAACTCTTTCTTTTCGATCAGCTAATTTTTACCTTTGATAATAAGACCTTGAACAAGAGTGTAATCAAAGGTATTATTTACTAAGAGAGTAAAGGCTAGATAACAAGAGTGGTGAAATAGGTTCGTTGTCCAGAACTCTCCCATTAAACGTTCAAAATCGCAACTCTCCCACCT